CATTTTTCCATCTTTCCAAATTTGTAGAATTTTTTAACAAGATGGATTCTTTCCAGATATAATTTATCACTTATTATATCTTTTAAAAGTCCTTTCTGTGTTTTCAGTGCTAGAGATACTTTTTTAGGCCTATGTCACACAAACATTGCATTGCCGCATGTCATACAATAACACTATCTTATGTGCTAAAGTGTCTCTAGCTAAAGGACTTGTGAGCAGTTTCATGTATGGTACAGTGTTAAACTATAACACATGTTACTTAACGTGCATCAGCGCAATTCTCTTGGCACACAGGCCTAAATTCCTCACTATTTCCCTTTAAAACCCCTCCACAAACATAAGTGGCACAAACCACCAATTCAAAAAAATAACAAAGTACAATGTCATTAATTCAATCATTACTTCTCAGTAAAAAAAAGAAAATTATTTTGTATTAATAATTTACATTGCAGATTATTCTTGTGGTTTTATGTTATTCTGTAGAGAACATAAAGTATTATTAATATCGTGAAATGTTGGAAAATTTCATTCAAACACAAAGTGGATCCCATAGTATATTATATGGGTGAGGGTTGAAATAGATTGGTGTTTGAAGAGGCAGTTAATTTCAAACTAAGAAGTGGAGTTTTGTATTTTACTTTCCACAGAGAAACCAAGAGAATGTTTTGAAAATAAAATTGGAATATGAAATCTAAATTTGGTGAGGAATGCCAACTCAAACATTGTGAAATAGTTTATCTAGCTATGATCACGCTATAACTTAATACACACGTGGGTGTGGGCAAAAGAAAACGGATGCTTTGATGATCTTTCAAGCAAGCCAGCACATTCATTCTCGTTTCTCTTCTCTGGAGTCTGCTTTAATGCACAAACTTCACTGCTCCAGCGCCCTTGCAAAAGATTTGATCTCAAAATGTTAGCTGCTAATTCATTTATTTCCCGTTCTGCTACGAAAGACATGCACTCCTTCTACTGCACGGCCTCATTTCTTCTGTTTGCCTGAAAATAATTAACAACATTAAAATATAATTTCTTGACTGTATGAGTTTCTATGATCGAGTAACAACTATAGAACATTCCATAGAGAAGAAATGTAACATCTTTATTGGAAACAATTGTACACAACATAAACTGGTTTATTTGGAGTATAAGATCACATATATCTTACAAATCACAAAATTATTTTAGATGAATGAAATTCAGAAAAAATTTAGGTGTATGATTTTAAATCTTTGGAATCGATTGGTGTTAAAAGGGTTATTTGCCAATAAGCAAATTTGCAAATGGTTTACTTGGAAAAGTATATTCAATATGGGTAGTGGTAAGCATACAGGTTATTACAGGTTTCCAGGGGCAATAGATTCAAATTCTGATAGCAGCACCACAAATTTACTTAGTATGTAGAACATCAACGAGTTTTGTAGTGTTCATCTGAAAGAATTCATAGGCTGACTGCTCTGAATTCAGTAGTTTATGTAGTTTTCTTTTTTCACTTCCAGGCAAACCGCAGAGCTGCACACTATATAATTTGGCCCCAAATGTTTGTGTTCTTCCTTTCCCATTCCTTTTGTGTCATCATCATTTCCCTCAACTCACACCAAAGTCCAGTGGGAGATTAGGTCCCGTCTTTCCCATTCATATCCAGCATACAGTGAGTAGATGAGGACTTTGCCCTTAATTACAAGTATTGATTAGTCCACAGGGTCATTCACAGAAGATCCAATATGGAAAGGACACATTGTCTAAACACAAGCTGAAGTTTAAAAGTATTTTATTTTTATTTTCAAAAGTGATTCTCAAGAGAAGCTTGTGTTCTATTCACTAAGTGACACATCACAATACCATTTATTCGAGACATTTTATGTTAATACACTGGAGTGTTATGAAAACCTCAAAACATGCTAGTAAAATGCTTAAAATAATGCTTGCAATGATTACAGAACTCCGCCGAGATAAAATATTTTCTGTTTACTTGGTAGTAAGAGCTGAAACTTGCTCATCCCGCTGTCCAGTGAGTTCACGCACAGCTAAAGCATACGAATGCTCCACCTGCAAGATAGCTTCTAAAGCAGGTGAATGTACCAATTTATGATAAACAGTTGCAAATAATTCTTCATCAGATGCTCCACGTCGTTCTGCGTATTCTAATGTTTCCTGTTACAGAAAAATTCAATCATTCTGAAATACTTTGCACACCGAAAACAGATCACTGTAATAAACGTCTTTAACAAAACTTACTTCTTTAAATGCTCTTTCCCATGCTTTGATGACATCTTCCACTTCAAAATCAGCACTTCTAGCATTCGCTATCAGTTTTTCAGAAGTGTCGTCGTAATACTTTATAGTTTCTTCATCCACAAATAATTTTAAAGCTTGATCTAAATCTGGTATTAATTAAACAGAAACATAATTTTCAAATAAAGAATAACTAATAGTTAAGTAAAACTTCAAAAGTGTTTCAATATGGTTTATAACAATAATTAAATAATAATCATAATATATTAGGAAATTCAGATCAACTCGTTTCCAAAATTTTACTCAATACACCAACCTTTCTCAATATAGGATGGCAACTTGAAACTGGAAAGAAGTCTTTGGGTAAGTTCCTGAGTTGAACCACTAAATGGAATACGAATTGGCACCTCAAGATTATATTCCTCTTTAGTAGTACATGTCGGAAATTTGAAAATAAACATTCTTTCAACAAATTCTTGTTCTGCAGCCATGATCTGATATATTCTATACGTATTTATACCAAAAAAAAGAAGAAATTATAAATGCATTTGAAGCAATTTAATACACATGGCAGAAAACTTTTATTGTTCTAGAGCGCTGATATGTAATTCCTCGCTTCAAAAGAATTCCACAGTACTATACATTACAATTAAACTAATCTTACAAATATTTAGAACTGTCATATGAGACAGATTAACCTTCGATTGGGTGTGGTGAGCCACACTTTTATTTCCACAGTTGTGAGTTTAACGGCATTTATAAACATTTTTCAATGCATTCGTAATAATTAATACAAGACAACGTTATGTTCAAGCTTGCAATTTTAATAGATAATATCTTCACTTTCTTGAATTTCTGTACTTGTCAATGTCTACAAATGTTAATTTTCTTAAGTTGGTACGTAGTTTAAATAAAAGAATATACACTAACTACATTTCGATTTATTTGTAGTGACGCTTGATGTACCATAGCTGTTGACAGTTTCATCCAATTGAAGCTTTTCTTTACTGTGGTGAGTTTAAGCTGGGGATTGGATAAATTGTAATCGTTAATTTTTATCAAGCGCTACTACAAATAAATCCGATTCTTGTTATATTTTCTTGGAGCGCAAATGTTTGCATGCCTGTTTTTTTAACGTTAAAGTGTTGATATTTTTGTCTGTTCGAAGAAAATGCTGGTGGCTTGGATTCTGCCATGAAAGTTTTGTCGGATTGATTTGTTCGTTTTGCAATCTTATTATTGAGGTTTATTGGAAGTAATACTAGATGGAGAATGGCAGTGTTGATATCACCGAAGACGAAGCCCACTTTATGATCGACAAATACTGACTATGGGCTTGAATCCCAAAACGGTATTGTTCTAATATTTTGTGTAAATGCAATATAATTCAATTGAGGGTCAAACTAATTTTACTTCACTTTTCTACTCCGTGTACTCACTGAGTATTAAAAGAGCGGGAAAAAGATCCTATAGGTATTACTAAATATATTTCCTATGTATTTTTTTGGGGCCTTAAATTGTATTGTTTGTAATCAGCTATAGGAAATTGTGGGAGAAAATTAAACAGCTCTTTTTAAAGTATTGTGTATAATATAAAATAACGCAATTTCCAAAATGTTTTTCGGGGTCACCTTTTATGGTTTAAAACACATACAGTAATAAAATGCTTATGTACCTATTTTTTGTGTTAATCATGCTGAATAACTTTCAATAGATTACTTGCAGATATAGTGATAATCAAAAACATTCTAAAATGTGTGAAGCTCAAATTAAATGTATATCTGGAGAGTACTGTATCTGTAGTTTACTTCAAAAATGTTTACAAAGTTTTGAAAATGCAGTATGTTCTGGGGAAATGCTATACACTAGAAATGCAAAAGACAATAAAAATCTGTGAAAATCTTTCACCGCATCCCAATTTTTTTTGTTACTGGCCTTTAAGTGGAAATAAAGGAGGAAGTGAATATCATGGTATATAAGGATTTTTTTATTTGTAAGTTGGAAACTACAAATGCATGAACATTCTGTAACCATCAGTGTTGGCAGATAAGCTGTTTGTGTTCCTTTCAATGTTTGTTCTTTGTATGGCATTGATTTGAAGTTGAAAATTGAGAAATTAAATTGTTGTGCATGTGTCCATTCTAGTGATAAGCTCTTTTATGTTTGTGGACAGTTTATTGTGAAATCACAGAGCCATTCAATAATAATCATTCAAAACTGTGTATTATTATTATTTTAGTTATGTTGGAGACAAGAAGTGGGCAATGCACATAGCTTATATCACAAACTATGTAAACTTAACTGAATGGTTGAAAGGAAAGGAAAAACATGCAGTTCAGTGTTCCAATGGTTTAGAGAGAAGCTACATGGAAGACTTATTTTGGTCTAACAAAAATGGAAAAAGCTTTTTGGAAAATAAGATAGAACATCCAAATGTGCCAAAATTTCATCAGTGAAAATGCAGAATCTGTAGTGAGTGATACAACATATGATCCTAGAACCCACTGTATGCCTTGTCTGATTAAGCAAAATGAATTCTGTGATCTTCATATCATTTTTACACAGTCTTCAAAGGGAATTTACTAAATACTGCAAAATCATCATCATTATCATTATTATTATTATTATTATTATTATTATTATCATCATCATCATTATCATTATTATACCAAATTGTGCCCCAAAAGAATTGAATTCATTCTGAGCAAATCAAATGTAAAGTGCAAGACTTTGGTGGCCCCACTAAGTATTCTCTTGCCCCAGTTCGCATTAAACTTGGACTAATTAATTTTTTTTAAAGCGATTAAGAATGGAGTTGGGTCTAAATATTTCCCAAACGTAGCAAGGCAAAATTAAGAGGGAATTT